CCAGCTAGATTTAGGGGTGGAGTTTAGGAACCCCTGGATCTTTCTGAGGGGATGTGACTCCTTTAGGCTTTACACTCTTAAATTTCCCAAAGATACTGAATTTCCCAGATTTGCCAGCTTCTTTCTCAGGCGCTCCCAATTTCGTGCTCCCTCTGGTGTCTGTCTGAGGTACTGCAGTTTCTAGATACTCAAATGATGCTCCCTTCCCATTAGTATTCCTTATCAAGCAAACCGTACCAGTCCCCTGGGCAACACTACAAAAACAAAAAGGTCTAACGTTGAGCATTCACTCTACTCTTTTCCCTCCCTCGCAAAGGAGCAGCTGCAGCTAGGACCGTGTTCCCAATCATACTGAACGCGCTGGCCTATCTCCCATATTGTAGGTAGGCCCTCATAGTACAGCAAGCTGCCCTCACTGGGCTCTCCGTGGCTCCCCGTGGACTCATATCATTCCATCTCCATTAGTTTTCCACGTCAGGCAAGCGAGGAACCAGCTCCTTGGGCAGTCCTCTGAAAGCCAGCATATCGGACGCGTAGGCTCTTCCTTTTCCCTCAAGAGAGCAGCTAGAACCCAGGCGGATGTGCCCGCTGAGAGGAAGGGCAGTCTTAGGTAGACTCCTTAACTACCTCAGTGTGGTTTTTCTTGGCTCTGTGATTGCCTGAGGTCCTGACACTCCTTAATTCTAGGAGAACTTGAGAGTGCTCCTGAAGGCATTTGGGGCTCTGTGTATTTTTAGTTCATGTGTGAGCACTAGGGCTGCACACTGCTGAAGCTGCTGCCTCTCTGTGGGAACAGGCTGGGACTTCATATTCTACCTTGCCGATACCATCACCTCATGTTTTCCTTATGATGTGATTTCATCACATCATAAATCTAAATGATTTCATTTAGATCTAAAACACTATCAGTTTTAAAGCACATTCCAGCTTTGGGAATGATCAAATGTGTAGGAAAAATGATAGGAAGACACCTGTAGTACATGCACCAGTCTTGTTCTGGCAACCCAGCAGAGACAAGGGCAGAAATGGGAGAACAGAGCAGAGGAAGTTAGCGACATGTCATGATGTGAAGACACCCCATCTCTTGAAGGGAGTCTAAACTTACAAAATGCTTGGCTCGATGTAATTTCTAAAGTGTCGAGTTCTATGGCAGGGACAATGGCAACAAAATAGAGATTTGAGCAGGTCACAGGAACTTCAGGCAAGAAACCCTGAGGTCATACCTCCCAGAACCTGCAGATATTACATAGATGGTTTGCGTTTCTATCCTGTGGAAGTGACAAGACTCTGAGGTGACCGTACACAGCCCTCTGTGGATCCAGAAGGGCCCGGCTGGCACCCGCTTCACACAGATCCCAAATCACTGGACCTCCCGTAAATTCATCCTTCACACTACACTGTTTTTGTTTTGTTTTGTTTTTGGTGGAACCAGGGATTGAACTCAGGCCCATGCACTTGCCAGGCAAGCACTTATGCTACTGAGCCATCTCCTCAGCCCCTACACTGTTTTTCCTAGAGGTGAATGGTATCCTGTCATTCCTCTACTTTAAAATTCTATCATCCACAATCAAGTCTTATCTGGCATCCAACACCCTTTATAATCCAGCGTATCTACTTTCCCACCCTCAAACACAGGACACTAATACATCAAACACGGCATGGCTGCCTAAAACAGCAAGTCTCTTTTTAAATTTTTATTTATTTATGTGTGTGTGTGTGTGTGTGTGTGTGTGTGTGTGTGTGTGTGGCCAGCTCAGCCCACCAGGGGGCAGGGCGGGCTGGCATGTGGTGCTGGGGGATTGAACCGTGGTCCCTGTGCTTTGCTAAGCTTGTTCTAAGTAGGTGCTTTAGACCACTGAGCCATCTCACCAGCCCCCAGCAAGTCTCTTTTTCCCTCTAAAACTCTTCTACTTCTTGTTATCTATTAAACACCCGCTTATTCTTCTTGATTCCTTCAGAAGAGCTTGCCACTCCTACCTGTTCCCCCAGCACTTGTTCAAAAGTTTCTGTCCCCCTGCCTTCTTTGCAAGGACTATGTCTCACTCACTCCTGGCCCCCCCAACCAGTACAGGCCAGGTTAACCTCTCCTTTGGGCCCATTCAGAACCCTGGGTACAACTATAATGTCATCTATTACTGTGTTATAATTTGTCAATTTAATGAACTAAAGAACACAGGGTCACATTATCTTCACTGTCAATTTTTCTAGCAACTGGGTAGAGAAAGGAGGGTGTGTTGAGGAAGAAAAAAAGGGAAGATAAAGGAAAAAAGACAGGTGGAAGGAAATGGAAAAAAATAAAGGAAGTTAACAACAACAAAAAGAAAGTTAAAGAATGAATGGGCTAATCAGGACTCAAAAAAATTGCCAAGCCAGGAGTGATGTCCACCTGTAACCCGCAGGAGCCTGAGGCAGGAGGATCACTGCTAGTTGGAGAGCAGCCCAAGCTACATGGCAAGACCCTGAATTAAAAAAAAAAAAAAAAAGTTGAATACAGAAACCCTAGCCTATAAGTTAAGTTTAAAAGGGGCATATGAACTTAGCCAGAAAGTCTTGTCCTCTGATCAAAGCAGGTCCCTGGAACATTTGTCCTGGGCATGACTGGCAGCAGAAACTGTTTTCTGTAAGTCTCCAAGTCTGGAAAGATAATCGCACAGAGCTCCCTGGACTGGGAGAGGTCCAGTAGTCCTGGCTTTATAGTAGGTGTAATGAAGAGCTCGGTCTTGCACTCACACATTATGATTTAAATCCTGGCTCTACAAGTCAGGTAATTTATCCCCTCAGAGCTTTACATGGAAAATGGGGACACTACTACCTCAGAGAACAATATGGAGATCAGCGATAGTAGGTATAATAACTAGCACCAGGAGGCATCGGATGCATGTGGCTTTTATTATTAGAATGTGTGTCACTTAACATGTTTTAGATTAGGTTATTACATTTAAAATATTATGTGGAGATTTCCAAGGAAGAAAACGTGTATAAAATAAAAGTGCTTTGTACACTATAAAATGCCCTACAAATTTAAGAGAACCACATGGGAAGGAGTCTCCTATAATTTAAAAAAATGAAACAACCTTTGGGTAGAAGTAGGCTCGGCCCACGCCCTGCTGTTCACTTGCTGTTTTCATGAGCAAGTCCCTTTCTGTCAGCCTCCTTCCACATGGGTCAAGTGCAGACAGTTCTTCTCAGGTGGTTGTCAAAACTCAGTGAGCTGTGAGGGACCGTGCCTGGCAGCTCCCTTGCTAAATGAGTGGCTGGTACCCCAGGTGACAGGACAGGTCCTGGGTGTGATGAGGTCATGGGCTGTGAGTTGGCCACAAATGAAGGTCCATATTATGAAAGCCAAACCCTAGAGCAGAGGCAGCTGGTGGCACACGTGCTGCAGCACGCTATCTTTTTTTTTTTTTTTTTTTTTGAGGTACCAGGGATTGAACTCAGGACCCTGTGCTTGCCAGGCAAGTGCTTATTCTACTGAACTATCTCTATCCCTAGGCTGTTTATCATGGAAAGCTCTAAACAGTGTGCCATCACCACCCTAGACTAATGAGAGAGGTAGGAAAGGGTGTTTTGTATGTCTTAGAGGAAAGCTGGGTTAAAAGCTTTAATGCTTTCATGCTAAAAAAAAAAATTTTTTTTTTACTCTTCCATGTGAAGACTGGACAAGAAATGGCTGCCCTGGAACAATCTCTCCAGTTTCCCAGCTACCCTAGTCTTAGACGAAATTACTGGTACTAAAAGCAAACTCTCATTATGGTTCCTGAGAGTTCTCACATCTTATACTCCTCCCTTCTCCCTGCCACTGTCACTTTTCTTAGCCATAGAAAAAGTACTCAATAAATAAAGTTGAAATGGCTCTCATGCTTTGCATGGACCTCCCACCGGGAATGCTCCACAGCCATCTCAAGACACTACACTAACTCCCACCTTCAGGCTGGACGCCTATGTGCTCCTCCATCACAGAGCAATGCAGTGAATTCAGGGAAAAGGACATCCACTGCGAAGCCCAACTTTAAAATGCTCCACTACATGCCTGTTGTGTGATTCCAACTTTCCTTACATCCATTTCCTCATCTCATACTCTCAGGGCCTGCTATGACAACAGTAAGATGAAGAACATGAAGTAACCAGGAGAATCACAGCAGCAGCCACACAGCTAGATGTTAATGCATCTTAGTCCTTCCCTTGCCCCTTTCCCTCAAGGGCCCCAGAAACAGCCTGCTTTCTTTCCCTTCGCAGAGGAGTCAACCTCCTGATTTTCTTGGCATTCATCTTCCTTCTACAATGACTGCCCTGGGACCATCTCCTCAGCTCCCCGCCTCCCCAGATGAGCACACAGGTCCTTTTCACTGAAAGGTTTTACTGCTGATCACTCTAGGGAAACAGATGTACGTTTCAATAGGGATAACAGGGAACCAACATGGGAGAGCGGGAGGTCGCTGGATCATGGATCCCTGAGAGCTCTCCTTTCATTCCTAAGGCGGGACCTCAAGTCTCTTCTTGGACTAAGGGGGCCATTCCCATTAGGAGGGCCACTCCTCAGCCTAGACATGGAGAAGCACACTTGGGTGGGGGCACAGCAGGCATGATCTAGCAGGGCTCTGCAGTATGCCTTAAGCAGTTCACAGACTATCTGGAGGCCTGCAAACAGTGACACCATCATACAGGTGTTTCCTTAAAGACCAGAGGATGCAGCCTTTGTGATATAAGCTCAGAACACATTCTGAGCTTACCCCACCTCTCTGTCACTCCCAAGGAGATGAAGCCATGACTGGATCCTCTGATTTTCCAAGGCAAATAACTTCCTGGGAGAAGACAAGGTTTTTTACTTAGAGTCCTTTCTCAGGACTTCCTGGACATCCTGATTTCAGAAACAACAAGAAGTCATTCTCCAAAGTGGAATGAAGGGCCAAGGTCAAGCAGGGCAGCAGCAGATCCTAAAGACCTTCTTTCTCTACTAAAATCTTTCATTCTGTCCCCCGCCCTGTATGTAAATGGGGCTCTCCTTTAGCTACTCTTTTCGGACTGCTCACCAGTGTGTGTTTTCTGGTGGCGGATGAGATTTGAGCTGCGGGAGAAGTGCTTCCCACACAGGGTGCAACGATAGGGTTTCTCCCCTCTGTGGGTCCTTTGGTGCGCTCCAAAGTTGGAGATGTCGCTGAAGGTCCGCCCACACTCCGCACACTCGTACGGCCTCTCCCCCGTGTGCGTGCGGTGGTGCACTCCAAAGCTGGAGCTGTTGCTGAAGCTCTTCCCACACTCACAGCAGATGTAGGGTGCTGGCTCCAGGTGGGTTCGGTGATGGACGGCCAAGGTGACACTCTGACTGAAGCTCTTTCCACAGATGTCACAGTGGTATGGCCGCTTGCCCAGGTGATCTTGCTGATGTGTAGTGAGGTCTGAGCGCCGCCGGAAGCTTTCCTGACACTTGGGACACTTATAGTGCTTCTCTTCCAGGTGGATCCGCTCATGCCGAATACGATTGGAGCTTCTTGAAAAGCTCTTGCCACATTCGGAACACTTATAGGGCTTCTCACCAGTGTGGATTCGCTGGTGTGTTTTCAGGCTGGAGGTATTACTGAAGGTTTTGCCACACTGGGGACATGCAAAAGGCTTCTGGTCTGCCTCAGGCTTTGGATGTGCCCTGGGGTCCCCTGGCCCTCCTGCTGAAGTAATGACTTTCTGCCATGGCTTTTTTGGACATGTTCCTTGTGACCCCTTCGATGGGTGTTCTTGCCCATCCTCCTTTTCCCCAGCTGGGATCCGAGAACCCTGTGAGCCATCCACTCTCCAAGGCTTACCCCCTTGCCTTTCCTCAGGCAGGTGTGGTTCTTGACTCTGCTCCTTCTCACTGCCCATCTCTGAACCCTGAGAATGAACACAAATGTTCAGCACCTTTATTCCATGGGTCAGGCCAGACCACTGGAAATGTTTCATTCTGGTTGAAAGGACATAAACCTTCTCCCTCCTGGAATAACTTCAACTAACTGGAATACTTAGCCTCTAATTATTTTCAGATGAGAAACTTTTCAAAGATTTGTTTTGTTTTGTTTTTAGTCTTTTTGAGACAGGACCTCACTATGCAGTTCAGGCTGGCCTTGAGCTCACTTTGTAGCCCAGGCTGGTCTTGAACTCAAAATAGTCCTCCTGGTTCAGCCTTCCACGTGCTAGGATTACAGGCATGTGCCACTACATCCAGTCCAAAAATATTTAAAGCTACACACCAGAGCAAAAAGACACCCATTTTGTCCACCACCAATAAATGATAAATGCATTTTGAATGTCACTCATTTTAATACCATGAAACAATATCTGGACTCTAATTTTTGTATACACAAAGCAGTGCTCATTTAGGGATGAGTTTGATTTTTCTGCCTAACTGTAAGTTAACTAAAATTCCTTTTATATTTTATGTATTTGGTTGTTACAGGGTCTCACTACGCAGCTTGGACTCATGGTGATCCTCCTGCTTTCAGCCTCCCCAGTGCTGGGATTACAGGCATGCACCACTACATCTGGACTCTGGCTGGCTCAGCCCACCCTGGGGGAGGCATGTGGTACTAGGGATTGAACCACGGTCTCTGCACTTGCCTAAACTTGCCTAAGCAGGTGCTTTAGTTTGCTGAGCTACCTCGCCAGCCCTCCTTTTATATTTTATCTATTTTGAGAAATCTTCTCACTCCTGAAGCTTTCCTAGTTGCCTCTACAAGGCCTACCTCTGAGTCCTAGTCAATGTTCTGCCACCTCACACCTCTCCAGACCTTACCAGAATTTAGCAATTGAAAGGTTGCCATCTGGACCTCTAAGACCTACTGCTGGGTCTGAACTGTGCTGTTCTGATTGGTCAGTCCCTACAGTGTCAAGTATCATGCAAAGCTATAACACATTTACACATACATGTATGTATATCACATGATACACAGCTGTATTCACACACCACATTCAGCCATATTCTTATACCATACATACACACCATACACACTCCATATACAATTACACTTTATGTAACGACACACAGCTATATACATACAGAGCACATATACCACATGCAGCCCTCCCACAATATAGGTACATATGACTTACATGGCTGTATACATACACCACACAGCCATACTCTCACATCACACTATGCAACTACAGTGCATTACATACAACTATACAGAGACACACATACCATAGCACCCCCCACATGTACACAGTGGCCAGCACGAGGCTATTTGTCATTAGCAATAAATACCTGCTAAGCAGCATAAATTCCTTTGGCTCCTACAGCCAAGTTCAGAAAAGGAGAGGGGAAAAAAGTATTCCTAATATAAGAGTGATGGCATGTCCTCTGGGACTTGAAGAAATAATGACATTTCAAAGAGCAGAGGGGAGCCAGGCACAGTGGTGCACATCTGTAATCCCAGCACTCAGAAGGCTGAGGCAAGAGGATCACCAGGAGTTTAGGTCAACATGGGCTATTCAGAAGGCTAAGACAGGAAGATCACCAGAAGTTTGAGGTTAGTGTGGGCTACACAGGGAGTTCAAGGCTTGCCTGCAGTACAAAGTGAGACCCTGTCTCAAAATAAAACAAAAGAGTAGATTAGTGAAATGCTGCCCAAAATGACAGAAACAAAGAGGTAAAGGAGGGAAGTACAAACTATGATAAGCACCAATGACAGGGGCTGGGGAGATGGCTCAGTAGAATAAGGGCTTCCCTGGCAAGTGCAAGGGGCTTAGTTCAATCCCTGGTTCGGCAAAAAAAAAAAAAAAAAAAGGCACCAATGACAGACAGTGAAGATCGGTGAAGTCTCAGAGTAAAAGAACAGGCACCGATTACATTTAGTGTAGGGTTACAATAGTGATGTAACCAATCTTTACAGCTCTTAACAAATTATTCAACCAATCCAGCCTAACTCTCTCAGCACCAGATTGAGATACCAACTTACAAACCACAAGAATTTGTATTAAAAAAATGCCTGCAATACACTCAGCAGAGCATGTGACATATACTGATCATGCAGCAAACAGCAGCTGCTATTATAGTTGCTAAAGATATGTTCTAGCTTATGAAGAGCACAAGAACTTTTTAAATCAAGGGCCAGCAAGGTAGCTCAGCAAACTAAGTGCCTGCTTAGGCAAACACAGAAACCAGGATTCGATCCCTGGTACCACATGCCTTGCCCCTCCTGCTCCCAGAATGCACTAAGCCGCCAAGTCTGGGTGTGGTGGTACACACCTGCAATCCCAGCACTGAGGAGGCTGAAAACAGGATCACTGAGTCCGAGCTGTGTAAAAATTAAATCCTTTAAATGATCTTAATAGGAAAGGAACAAAATGTTTTAATTAAAAGAGCACAAGATTATATACAATCCTCTCTCAAATGTAAAACAGACATAGAACATCAATTGTTTTGTTTTGGTTTAATTCAGCTTTTTTGTTTGTTTTTGAGATAACAGTCTAACTATGCAAGGCTGGCCTTGAACTCACTACACAGCCCCGGCTCGCTTCCAACTCGAACTGATCCCCCTGCTTCAGCCTCCCAACTGCTGGGATTACAGGCATGCACCACATCTGGAACATCAACTCTAAAAAGCAGATGAAGGAGGGCCAGGGATATACCTCGGTGGCATAAGCACCTGCCTGGCAAGCATAAGGTCCTCAGTTCAATCCCTGGTACTTCAAAAAACAAGAAACAAAACAAAACAAAACAAAACAAAACAAAAAAAGCAGAGGATGACAAATTTTTTGTAAAGGGTCAAATAATATAAATATTAGTAAATATGCAGGACCAACGGGTCACTACTGTAACTATTCAGCTCTGCTTGTACCATGAGGGCAGCACAAATGAGACATAAAGGAATGAAGGTGGCTGTGTTCCAACAAAACTTTATTTAAAACAACGGAAGACAAACTGTCATTGAACAATCACTGTTATTCATTCCCTAAAGAATTTTGGTATGCAATATAAAATAGCCTGTTTCACTTTCAAAAAGGCAGGTAAACATCAACAAGTATTTATTTCTTTGATCAACATTTTAAAAATTTCATATCCTTCACTTCTATCTCCCCACTGCTACATATATTCCCAGTTGCTCTGCCTCACAGCTTGTCTTTTTGTGTGTACGTGTGTGGCCAGCTCAGCCCGCCCTAGGGGCAGGGCCAGCCCAGGACTGCCGGGGATCAAACCACAGTCCCTGTGCTTGTCTGAGTTTGCTTAAGTAGGCACTTTAGACCGCTGCGCTATCTCGCTGGCCCACCACTCACAGCTTGTCTTACTGACTCAATTCTATTTGAGTCTATTATTTATTATCTACCTTCCCTTGTTAAATAGTAATTTCCTAAGGGTTATGATCTTTGTTTTAATCACTAATGTAGCCCACATTCCTATAGTACTGGCAAGCATATACAGCAGCTCCTTAATAAATATTTAAGTGAATCCAATAAAGGCCAGACTTGTCTCCAGAACCCATTTCATGCTCACTGCATGTATTCCCACCCATGTTCCTCAGCACTTTCCTGACTCCTGCCCACTTTCTCCTTTGTGTGTCCACAGAATCTTGTGCTTGCTTTTACTGGGATTTGCAATCACCAGTTTCTGTCTGCTCCCACTAGGAGTTTATCAGGACTTGACAAAAGGGACTGAGCTATCTTAGTAGTTTTCTGCAGGATAAGGCTAGGTGCTTAAATGTCTTATAAATAAATGAGTGAATGGATGAGATTTTCAAGTTTTGTTTTTGTTTTTTGTACCAGGAATTGAACTCAAGACCTCATACTTAACAGGTAGGCACCATACCACTGAACTATACCTCTCAGCATGGATGTGATTTTCATTTACTCCCTGCCCCTCCTCCCCCCACCTAGACTTCAGCAACTGAATACAATGACTATGTGGTCTTCACTCACCTCCCATTGTGTCATAATCCTAAATCTGAAATCTTTTTGGTCTTACAGTGACCCAGAATTCACTCCTGGGAGAGCTTAATCTTGGTAAATTATAAAACAATAAGTTATGGACTAAGCACTGTATCAATAATCTCTCATAATCTCTCTCTTCTTTCTCTCTCCTCTTCCCTCTCCCTTCTCTTTCTCTCTCTTCTCTTGCTCTCTCTCTCTCTCTCTCTCTCTCTCTCTCTCTCTCTCTCTCTCTCTCTCTCTCTCTCTCTCTCTCTCTCTCTCTGGATCTCACTATACAGTTCAGACTGGACTTGAGCTCACTTTGTAGCCCCAGCTGGTCTTCAACTCATAAAAATGATGCTTCCTGCCTCGGCCTCCTGAGTGCTGACATTATAGGCATGCAGCACCACACCGGTTTCTCAAGTCATTTTTACAGCTATTCATCTGTCATCTTTATTTTAGAGATGAGGAAATTGAAGCCCAGAGAAATAACATGGCTGTGAGTATGCAGTAAGTGGCAGAGCTGGAGCCTGTGCCCATCACTCCTGAGCCAGGGCTTTTAATCATTACATTAGTACTAACGGGAGAAAAGGAAAGGAAGGTTGGAAAGAAAAAAACAGTGCCACGGGAGTTTGGATGGCTCAGCCATATCTCTCTGAAGAGATGAGAGATGAAAAGCTTCATAGAAGAGATGGCATTTCCACTAGAGCTGGTGACCAGGCTTTGTAGAGCTCACTTGCTGACCATGCGGGACCTCTGGCTGTGCTGGAAACGCTCATATTCACGCTGCTCTGAAGTCAAGGTAACACCACAGCTGAGGAAGCCAGGATGCCCCAGGATGCGGCTCCTGACCCTCCCTATTCTACAGCAATAAAACTGTCAACTGCAGAAATCAAACAGTTCTTTTAAGTAGCAAAATTTACTAGCTTTGGTCTAAGCTGGGGGAAGCTTTTGTATCCCCCTCCTCTTACACTCCCCAAATCTGTGAAAACTCAATAAATACAGCGATCTGGAAGAATCTTTGTCTCTGCTCCCAGCATTCAGACATTTCTGGACTCCCCATAAACCCTACCACTTGTCTGTTTTTATTTAAGCCTTCACCATATACTTGTTTTAGGAGATTAGGGGCTAGGCCAAGTCCTTGATAAGCTAGGACTTTAAGGATGGGTGGGTAAGCAAGACCAGGACTAGTAGACAAAGGACATTCACTACCTATTGAGAAGGCAATACAGTTAAAATACAGTCATGGGCATGCCACAGTTCCAAGATGTGGGAGATAAAAGGGCCTATTGGGCTGGTCTTCCTTAGGGCTTAGCAACACAGGGTGGACCGGATTCAGGCAGTGAAGAAGCCAAGGAGATGGGCCTGGCCGCCACAGACGGTAAAGAGCAAGGCGCAGGGTCGGGGAGAAGACAAGCTGGAAAGTGATCGAAGGGTCAGAGTTCCACATCTGGGGCCAAGTCATGGAGTGCGGAAGGCGAACAGGCAGGAAAGATCAGGTGTTAGAGCTAAACACCGTGTCGGACAGAAAGGACTGGAGGAGTCCGAGGGTCCGAGGAGATGGTGAGGGAGAAGAGACAAAGGCTGCACGCAGAGGTGTAGGAGGACCAGGGCCCCAGAGGCTGGTCTGGGTCCTGAGGGCGAGAGACGCCCAAGGAAGAGCCCACAGCGCTGCGCACGGCAGGTGCTAGGTTCAGAGACACTGCGTGGTGGGAGAGACCGAGCAGCTGGGCCCGAAGGTACGGTCATAAAAACGTACGGCGGGCCCGGAAGCACTCAGGCCAACCGAGAAGGGCGGGGGGGGGGGGGACCGCGCGGCCGGGGCAGCGGGACAAGGGTCTGGGCGGAGGGACCACAGGGCCCTTGGCTCCCCACTGTCAGCGGAGCAAAGCAGCAGCATCCAAGTTCGCGGTGAGAAGAAAGGGGTCGTCCTCAGGGTGCCCTGCAAAGTTGTGGCCACCTCCCCACCGTAACCTCCACCCAGCCGGGACCCACCTCGCTCCCGCCGCTTGGTCAGGGACAGCGCCGCCTGGGAGGGCGGGGAAGGAGCCGGAGCCGGAAGCCGGGAAGGGCCCGCCCTGAGACTCCAGGATTGGTTTCTAGGGGAAAATTCCTTTCTATTGGCTCCGATAGCTGCCAAAATGCACACGCCCGAGCGGGAGCACCAATAAGCCTCAGTCTAGTGCGTGGCATGCTGGGAACTGTAGTCCTGAAGAAAACAGTTGCCTCAGAACTTCTGCAAAGTTTAGAATGGGCTATAGAGACTGGCTCCGCATCTAAGGTTTACCTTCGGCTTTACTCAGACTGGTGACCCTTGAAGATCCTCTAGACACCAGCGAAGCCTAGAGTCCAGCACCTCACTCAAGATGTATATTTTAAAATTAAAGAAGTGTAGACCTAGATGGCCGTTTACGGTCCACTTCCAAGGAGACCTGCACCTCCTAACTCAGGGCTTCCGGATCCTATATGCATCTCCAATTAAATCTGACACTTTCAAAAGAGATACATAATCCCACTAAAGTATGTAGGATAGGGCTTTATTTTCCATGTTCTAGTCTGAAAAATAAAGACTAATTAAATGTGTAGGCCAACTAAAGATTTCTCAACATCTGCAGGGTATTTCCTAAAAGGATAAGGGGAACGCTGCCAGCAGAGCTAGAGAGACTAGGTTTATAATCCCAACTCTACGGTCTAACCATCTGCAGAGCCACTTTCTTTTGCTATAAAATACCTGGCAGAATTGTTATAAGGATTAAATGAGTTCATAGGAAGATGACAGACTGATAAAAACATAGGTAGAGGGGCTGATGAGATAGCTCAGCTGATTAAAGCACCTGCTTAGGCAAGCTTAGGCAAAAACACAGGGACCAGGGTTCGATCCCCTGCACCACATGCTATGCAAGTCCCGCCCCCAGGGCCAGCTGAGCAGGCCAGAGTCCGGGAGTGCGTAATCCCAGTGCTGGGGAGGCTGAAAACAGGAGGATCACTATGAGTCCAAGCTGAATAGTGAGACCCTGTAACAACCAAATACATTAAAAAAAAAAAAGATAGGTAGAGCTTCTATTTCCACATTGTTCCATTTCCTGCTGGTTAAGTTTTCTCAGTGTACAGGGCCAGTGCAAACAATACTTTTAAGATTGGGGTATTTAGGAAAGTATGTTTGGAACTGAGTATGTGTGAGTGAAATATAAGTATCTGTTGTATACTAATTGATAGTTGGTCATTGATTTTAATTAATAAATTGATTTTTAAATGGGCTAGGGAATGTAGCTCAGTGATAGAGTGCTGGACTAGCATGTTTGAGGCCCTGGACTTAATATCCAGCACGACAGAAATGTTTTCAATAAAAAATAAAATACTAGAAGGCAAGCTCAGGAATAAAACTGGGTTTGTTATGAACAGTGGTTAAGGCTTGCTTGAGTGGATTCAAAATTGTTTAGAGCCTAATTTCATGTGTTTTTCTCCTAGCAACCAAAGCCCCCACAATTTCTCATTCATAATGAAAATAACAGCATGCCAAACAGTGAATAGCAAAGGTTTTATTTAAGAACTACATAAAAGCATATGAAAAACTCCACTTGGGCATTGTGATGGTTAATTTTATATGTCAATTTGACTAGGTCACGAGGTGCCCAGAATTTGGCTAAACATTATTCTAGGTGTTTCTGTGAAGGTGTTTTTAGATGAGATTATCATTAAAAAAAAAAAAAAACCCACAAGTGAAACAGACTCTTCTCCTAATGTGGATGTGCTCATCCAGTCATTTGAAGGATGGTCTAGCTAGAACACAAAGGCTGACCTCCTCCAATTAAGAGAAAATTCTTCCTGTCTGATGGCTTTTGTACTGGACATTAGCCTTTCCCCCATCTTATGACTTGAACTGAACCACTGGCTCTTCCTAAAGCTCAAGTCTGCCAACCTCCATAATCATCTAAATAATCGTGAGCTATTTCTTTGACTAATGCAGGCCCTAATCGGACGACTTCCGATGGACAGATCTGGTTACTGGATCCCATATGCAGCTCCAATTAAATGTGACACTTTCAAAACAGACACACAATCCCACTAAAGTATGCAGGACTAGGGTTTTATTTTTCATGTTGTATGCTAAAAGATAAAGACTAATTGAATGTGTAGGCCAACTACAGATTTCACAACATCTGCAGGGTATTTCCTAAAAGGGTAAGGGGAACCCTGCCATCAGAGCTCCCAGAGGAGCCATGTGCAAACACATGGCCAGTATCTCCACAGACAGGCCAGACCACATATGTGGTGAGACCTGAAAGTGAATAGGAGCCTCCTGCAGTCCACACCCAAAAGTCAGAGTCATTATTTTATCTTCACAACTTTCAAATGAAAAGGCTGCCAACTTCTTTGAAATCAGTGCTCCCTGACCTAAAAGATTATTTCCTGCAGAAATCACCAAGTCTTCCAGTATAATAGTCATGGGGGAAAGCTGCATATGAGTGATTAAAATTGCCACTACGCCTCTCTGAACTAAGGAAGGTATTCAAAGGGGCCAGAGCAGCTGACGGATCATCTCCTCCAGTGTGTTCGGAGCCACACACCGCTGGACTCTTCTGTTTGCAGCTGTGCCTCCCAGCTTCATGACTGCTCCTACGGCTTCTCAGGATTATGGCTACCTGCTCTGGAAGTCTGGAAGTCTCCTAGTTATGTTGTAAACAGCATAAAGAAAGAAAAGAGAGATTGAGAGAGAGAGACAGAGACAGAGACAGAGACAGAGACAGAGACAGAGACAGAGACAGAGACATAGAGACAGACAGAGAGAGAAGGGGGAGGAAGGAACAGAAAGAATGGGAAGAGCTTGGTGGAAAGGTAAGAAGCTGGGCTTGGGAGCTATAACCTGAAAGCCAGAGCGCAGGATGAAACAGGTAGAGATTCTAATAATTGTCCACTCAAGCCGAGAATTCTTCCCCTGACCCTGAGTTAAACCTGGTGACACAATTCAACATTCTCTCCTAAACCTAAATTGAACATTTGGTTTTTAGGAATTCTCCTTCTAGAGCAATGGGAACTTCAAGTCCCTAGAAGAAGGGAAGGGTTCAGAATAGAACCCTAAGAGAAAAGTGGTACAAATAGAAAACACGAAAGGGTCTGGATTGAGTTAAGGAGAAAAGACATTGCAGAATCAGGTGTTGACCCAGGATCCTTGAAATCCAAGAACCTTGACATCTTGGGGGCTGTGAGGGTGGTTCATGAGGCAAGGCCCTAAAAAGAAGGAACCTTGAGCTTTTGAAGAGCTGGACCAAGGTCAGAGGGCCAAGACAGGAGCATGTCATTGAGTGGAGAAAGCTCCGGTGCCTGAGGGGGAAGTAAGGAAGGGTTCACCTTCAAGGACACATCACCATTAGCATGGGGGTTTTCTTCAGGTTTGGGGACAGTTGATTCCTCTATTTTCTGTAGTTCTGAACAAATCATCAGAGGTGCTGTGTTTTCCCCTCCATCATGAAGACAAGGTTCAAAGAAAGGGCGGAGGGGGCCAGAGAAACTGTGGGTGAAAGTAAAGATGTGGGACTGGTTAGTCACATTGTAGAAGGAAATGATGCCAGCTTCGTAGTCCAGGAAAATCCCCACACACCGTAGTGGCTCTTTCAAGTGGAAGGAGGTCTGCGGGGATGTGAGAGCTTCATACTCATTCCTGCGACTCTGGCGAACAAGCCAGTGTCCATTAGCCGGCGAGGCAGTGACCTTCCCCTTCCTGGTCACTGAATCACTGCACACCCCGAGGATCCACTTGGTCTTGCCTCCCACGTGCACCTCCCAGTAGTGACAGCCAGCCGTGAAGTACTCGGAGCCCAGCACGCTGACAACGAAATCAAATCTCTGCGGGTTGTTGGGCACAGCCTGCTTTCTGTCGCCAAGTCTCACACATCGCCGGTCTTCAGACAGGATGAGTTTGGGGTGTGCTGTGTCTGGATCCAGGGTCACTGCCTCTGCAGAGAGGCACAAAGAGGTGAGGTTTGGGAAAGTCAGATCTTAATGCATTTTTGGTAGTTTGAGAAGAAAAAATGATCTATAGTTCTACAGTCACTGTCATTGACCCATTTCTTTTCATGAGTCCCTGGCCCTTCATACAAACTGGAAGAATACTGTCTTTCTTTCTTTTCTTTCTTTCTTTTTTTTTTTTTAGGAACCTGGGGTTGAACTCAGGCCCTTGCACTTGCCATGCAAGCACTTATTCTACTGAGCCATCTTCCCAGCCCCAAGAATACTATCTTTCAAAGAGTAGGTCACCTAGTAGAGTACAAAATGAAACAGGAAAGATTTATCTGTCTGTGAAGTTCTCTTAATCTTGAGAAAAACTAGCTCTGTCTTCGATGTTCCAGTGAAGTCTAATACATGATAATAAACAGGATTGATGTTTGAGTCCCAGCTTTTCCATGACCTTGGGCTTATTATTCATCTCTAAACTTAAGTTTCCTCATCTGTAAAATGAGAATAATAGTAGAATCTCAAATGAAGAATTGTCATTAAACCTAGTTCCTACAGTGACTTGTGTGGTGCTCCTTTTGTTACCCAAAATTGCTGCTTATGATGATCATTTTAAAATGCTAACAGAGGCTGGGGAGATAGCTCAGTGGCCTAAGCACCTGCCTGGCAAGCCAGCCCCAGAATCCCTGGCATGGTAGTGCAGGCCTGTAATCCCAGCACTGGGGAGGCTGAGACAGGAGGATCACTAAAGTCTAAACTGTGTAGAGAGAACCTGTACCCAAAAAACAAACAAATAAATATTAAAATTTTTTTTAAATGCTAACAGAGCAAAAGATTTTTCCTTACATCACTGAGTGTGAAGATCATAGAGCATCTCCCTCTTCCCCTACATACAGGAAACAGGATCTTCTCTGAGAGTTAAATCCATGAAATCCCCAATTGGTTGAGGCAGTAGGAGTGAGCTAGACTGTGAATACAAGACTGGAAGGCTTGTGAGATCCTTCAGTGCCAGTCTAGGTGACTATGTCATCTCAAGTGATCAGCTGATCGATTCTGCCTGTCCTCTGAAGGAAGGAAGGTAGTATGAGCAGGAGGGGAATCCGGGCTCCGGAAAATTAATAACAAGCCCAAAGCAGTAAAAATAATAATGTTGTTCCAACAGCTGCAAAAATACAAATTATTAAGAAGTACATGCAAGGGCTGGGGAGATAGCTCAGTAGAATAAGCGCTTGCCTGGCAAGCACAAAGTCCTCAATCTCTGGTACTGCAAAAAAAAAAAAAAAAAAAAAAAAAAGAAGAAGTACATGCAAAGAAAGATGTGTAAATATTTTAGAATAATAATTATGAAATTGTTGGGGCCTGTGCGCACCTATCTCTGAGAGTCTTAGTCACTACCCCCTACCCCCCGCAAAAAACTGGTTTGCAGAGAAAGAAGGCTGTGGCAAATGCATAGAAACAGGGGCTGTCTACCCCACTGCTCTAGGAAGGACTTCCCAAACCAGAAAGCACCTGAAAACACCACACGGGAAATGAATAGTGCATTCAAACTGCTTAAAATAAACACTTGGGTACCAAAACATACTGTAAGGAAATTAACAATCAAAAAGTAGTCCAACTAGGATAAGAGCAGACAAGTCATAAAAAAGAAATAACTGAGGGCGTGGCCCTAGCTCAGGCCTTTAAGTGGCTGCTTCCACAAAGCTCTCAGCCTCAGGTTGCTGGAGTTCGAATCTCGCACCTCTCCCGCTGGCCAAAAGTGCCCTGAAGCCATTCGAGGAACAAAAAAAAAAAAAAAAAAAAAAAAAGAAATAACTGACAAACTTAGGAAAAATATTTTAAAAAAAGGAATCTCATAAGATCAAACCTAATATGTATCAGTGCTCTGAAAAGACACTCTCCAAATCTAAATGTGACCCTCAAAAAAATTTTTAAAAAACAAATATTTCTAAAAATTTGATAAGCAGGTCCAGCTGGTACAGTGGGGCACACTTGTAATCCCAGCTACCCAGGAGGCTGAGGCACGGGGATTACAAATTTGAGGCCAGCCTGGGTAACTCAGCAAGATCTTGTCTCAAAATTTTAAAAAGGGATGTGTATAAAGCTAAGTTCTACTGTGGGTACAGTATATCTATCTCAGCATTGCCAAAAATAGACAGGTAAACAGATCTGACAAATAACCTCTTCAAAGTACAATTGTTTTCAAAGGGAATGGCCCAAAACCTAAGGTCAGAGGCTTTCAGCAGGATGAGCTCTGAAATGAGAATGAATCTCACTTACCGAAGTGCAGCCGGGCTCTTCTCCAGCCTGAAAGACATGAAAAGGGGGCTGCGTTTGGACCTTGAACATCTTCCAAAGGACCATGTGTGGAAGGTTTGTGGAAGGTTTGCTCCTCCGCGTTCGATGATGCTATTGGCGGTGGAACTTAGTGGGAGGAAGCTAGGTCATAGGGGCATGCCACAGAAGGAGAGGTGAGCACTCCAGTTCCTTCCTGTTCCGTTCTTTGCTTCCAAGATGCCATGAAGTGAAAGGCTTCCTTGTACCTGTGATCAAAAGCTCCAGCAAGAGCTGGGCATGGCACATGCCTGGAGTCCCAGCGCTTGGGAAGCTGAGGCACAAGGATCACTGTGAGTTCAAGACCAGTCTGGGCCACATAGTGAGTACGGGTCAGCCTGAATTATACTGTGAGACCCTGGCTCAAAACAAAACAAAATAAAACAAACAAACAAAAAAACTATAGTGAATGTTTAATTCTTTAAAAATTTCATGAGAATAAAAATTGTACTACTATCAACTCCTTCTAAACACACTCTTGCTTCAAACACATCCCATTGTTCTTGCCACTTTCTGAAGTGGTTCTATAAGTTCTCTTTTGTATCTTTAGTTGTGCTGTTGTAGTTGCCTCAATGTCTTGAATCAGTTCAAAATGTTTAAGTTTCCTGGTCAGTTTGATTTTGTGGAAGAACCAGAAGTTGCCCAGTGTCAGAGCCAGTGAATAACATGGGTGAGGATACACCACAATGCTTTCACAAGCTTGTCTTCTGCAATGTGCTACACAATAGCAGCACTCGCTGCAATGTTTTTTATTACACATTGTAAAGACCCTCAGGAAGGGTACTTCCAGAACTGCCTCAGAAAGTGGCCAGAACAATGGGGGCAGTGTGTTTGCATTGAGGAGGAGTATGTTGTTTTGAGGGGAAGGTTCTTTTTATTTTAATACAGGATCTCCATATGTAGCTCAGACTTGTAGCGATCCTCCTGTCCAGCCTCCCTAGTGCTGAAATTACACACCTGCACCACTACACCCAGTTCTTGGCCTGCGGCAGAGAATGCAGTATGGGAGATCAAACTTGGGACCATGCACTTGCCAGGCATGTGCTTATGTCACCAAGTACCAAGTACTACCTCCCAGCCTGTTCAGGCTGATCTTGAACTCACTTTGTAGCCCAGACTAGCCTCAAACTCATGGTAATCCTCCTACTTCAGCCTCCAAGTGCTGGGATTACAGATGTGTACCACCACACCCAGAAGAATATTCTTTTTCTCCTGTTTTTTGGGGGGGTTTGAGACAGGGTCTCACTATGTAGCCCAGGGTGGTCTCAAACTCACAACAATCCTCCTTCCTCTGCCTCCTGCAGAGGAGGAATATTCTGAGAGAGATTCAACAGCAATGCATCATTTACTTTTAATTTTTTTGTGTGTGTTTCAATTGCAGCTACAAAGCAAAGCGGAATGGGCTGGGTTCCACTAACTCCTTCTCTGGCATGCTCCCAGGAACTTAACTTCTGCCTCTAGGCTTCATCTTGCAAAGGTTCCACCACCTCCTAGCAGCATCATATGCCTTCAACATATGGGCTTTTTAGGGACATTTGAGATTGAACATACACTGTAATTTAAAAAAATTTTATTAGTACATGCTTGTAATACATCACATAATGATTTCATTTATCATGGGAAGTTCCCATATGTATATAACACATCTTAATTCTTTTCTTCACCTCCTACTTCCCTCTCCTCCTTTAAACTCTTGGTCTCCTTCCCATTTAAAAAAGCTATATATTTTCTATGTATTTTAATTGTATGTGAGAAACCGCACAATAATTAAGTTTGTGTATCTGACTTATTTTATGTGGTATAATGGTCTCAACGTACACTAATTTACCCATTTTTTAAAATCAGAACTTGTGCCTTTCCAGAATCCCCGAAGCAATGGGCAAATTGGCTATGGACTGAAATGTCTGAAAGTGTGAGTCACAACAAACCTTTCCTCCTTATAAGTTGTCCATCTCAAGTATTTTGTCACAGTGAAGGAAAGATGACTCACACCGGAGATCATTAAAGCACTAGACAAAGTGAGAGGTCCCATAAGAGGGGACTCAAACATGGGGCAAGTGCACCTCACCTGCGTTGGCTGCACTTCTTTTCAGTTCTGTAGGAGGAGAAACAAAAGGGTGAGCACTCACTGAAAGTACGGGGACAACAGGGGATCGTTGGTACAGAATAAGAACATGAGAAACTTACTCAGTTCACGCCGAAGTTTCTCTAGAGAATAAAAACAGTTTGACAAATCAGAATGCGGGCTACTACCTAGCCTCAATGTTCCTGTCCCAGTCCACCCACAGTTCAAGCTTAGACCCTCAGTAGCCATATCCGGGAACTCTCCCATGAAAATGTCTGCAATGGCAATAGCTCTTGGCTCTGGGCCAACCCCAAGTGCAGCAGAGTCAGCAGTTTCTGAGTGAGCCAAAGCTTACCTGCAGACCAAATAAATAATACCTCTCACGGCTGTAGGTAATGACAATGTAAATGGATGCAGATGTTCTGGGAGAATGTAAGTTCATATTTATACATGTATGTACAATACATGTATATATCATATACACACATATATTTAGTTTTTTGCAGTACTGAGGATCTAATCTAGGGCCTCATGCATGCTATGCAAGCGGCTCTACCACAGTACTTCCTGACTCTACAAGTTCATTTAGAACTATGAATCATTTTGTTATTGTATATATTTTCTGCACATAAAACCATACATATAAAAATACTATAGATAGATAGATAGATAGATAGATAGATAGATAGATAGATAGATA